TACCTGTCACAATACCATCATAAGCGTTCGCCTCCAATCCAAGGCATTGTGCTTCCCATGAAGGCTTTGATAGGCGACGGTCCTAAAATTTAGATGCTTTACAATCTCTATAAGTTGGAGAAAATTGGAGGATAAAGTATTTTTGCACTAGTTAATTCTGTTTTAAGATTCGAACCCCAGCCTGTGAGTGCGACAGTGCGCTCCTTAACACCACATCACATGCATCCTGAAAAAAACAATCACGGGAAGAAACTTATGCCACCTACAAGGGTTTCTGGCAGATGTGATGGAGCCGCTCGATGCAAGAAGAGGAATAGAAGGTGTAGAGGACCGTCAGAAATCAGATCTATGATGAAAACTCTCAGAATCGAGAGCTAGATGGTGGCAATTCATTCCTAACTTTAACTTGAAAACACAGCACAAGGCAAAAATGGGTGATTTCTGAGATTCCCATCTGGAATGAACCTGTGACCAATGAAGGTAGCAAGGGACGACGTCGAATCAAAAAACCGTCTAGATAGAGTGTAGTGAAGGTCCCGAAACCACGGCTTAGCCGAGGTGCTCACCTGAAGGAGGACGAGTTCTCGCGGCGTTGTAGAGACTGTAGAGTTTGCACCACCCGCACCGGGACGTACATGTTGCAAGCAGGCAGCCTACTACTGTAGCCAGCTGTACGCAGCTGGCTACATTAGGCTGCCTGCTGCGGCACTATCGCTTCCCGTAACGGTCTGAATTACACACCCCCGATTATCGTGAACTGCACCTGTAGAGACCCACTACATCCCATCTCAAAGAACCCCACTCACTAGGGTGTGCCTCGTCCACTAGATCTGAGGCACTCGAATTCCTTCCCATGCGGCACGTTTTCAAACTTAAGATGACAAAAAACCGCAGTGCAGATGACTCGCCTCGCTTTCAAGGTTTTCTCGAGTTTCTTGAAGTGATTCTTGAAGTACTGTATAGTAATAGTAAGTGTTGTTAGCTTTTCATGATGTGATGTTGTCTCTGAACTTACTACATTCAAACCTTGAGAACATTCTGCAGTGTTTCTAATCGGCATGGGTTAGGGCATTGTGGGATATCCACGCGAACCAGCTCTTCCGTCAGTGTTGGTGAGAGCCACAACTGAAACCAATCCACTGTTGTCAAAGCGAACCAATTTGTGAGCCATAGTAGTGATTAGTAGTCTTGAAGGGAGACGTGCAATGGATCACTGTGATTGGTGGTCGAGGGTGACTCACCAATCACAGCCGACCTACGACATTACTCGTCCAAAGCACAGAGCTAATGATGAAATTGAACACAGATACTAGGGCTACCTCCACAAAGTTAGTTCCATTGATAACGTGAAGCTCAACGGTCAGCAGAGCCGCGAATGGAAGCATTTCATTGGCTATTTGTGTGATGTTGAGTTGACGACCAAGTGCCATGAAATTGGAGTCATGCTGAAAGTATTTAAACGTAGTCGTGGCGAGCAGTTAAGCAATTTCGATACTCTACTCACCCCTGATATGAATACGGCCTTATTTCGAGCCATAAGAGGCCTATTCAGATGATCTTCGATGAAGGATAATAGCATCTCGGAATGATATCCTATAGTAACAATTACAAGAATTTAATGATTACAAATGACTTTTATTAGACGAGATTTAAATGGCAGTATTGGTTGAACTTAAAGGCACAGTTCACGATAGTTCAGGGGTATCTGAATTAGACGAATAACGGAAGTGATGGAACAGAAGGGTAAAGCAAAAAAAAAAAAAAAAAAAAAAAAANGGGTTTTTGGACGAGCTACCCAAATGTATGTGACATAGCGCACATGGCTACAGTAAGCTGCCTGCGTGCAACGTGTGCGTCCCAGGACGCATTACAGCCTCTAAAACGCCATGAGATCCGCCCTTCTCTACGTTGGCTAACCAGGTTTTAAAGCACTTATTACGCTTCCTCTGGGGCTCTTTTGATCCAAAGACGTCCCTTGTGTTATCGTTGGGGGTCACGGTTCATCTCAGAGAAAAATCTGAAACCATCTTCGTCGTGATCTGTGCCTTTGAGCCGTTCCATTCTCAATGGGGGTCATCACCGTTTTTCAGTCCTGTTTTCGAAAAAGGCGGAGTTTTCAAAAATCCAAAAAAAAAACTCTTACTTCCAGCTGTTTCACTCTGTGCATCAATCATTCTTTGATGGAAAATATTTCGGTACAACGACACGTTCGCTCTCAGTGGCTCCGCCCATCTCGGATAGGGAAGTTGGGTATTATTCATAATCAACTGAAAAAATGTTGTAGTACTACCGAGATAAAAGCTGGAATGTGATTTGTTCCCTGAAAACTGATTAAAAAGGGGCTTGTGAAGGACTTAGAAGTACACAATTATTCGGCGAGAAGTGATAAGAGAGGTTATCATCAAACATCTGTGCTGCACGTTCCGGTGTTCGAAGAAAAGTCGTAGATGCTAAGGTGCACGGAGAGTGTCTACTGCGAATTTCGCAACAGTCCAGATATTTTCTGTAATTTTCTGAAAGCTTCCATGAAGAAACTAGAAGAGATACTACTTGTCAATCCCGTCTGAGGGATACGCCACGGCATTCGACTTACACACAGAATCGTAGTGGCGTTATTGATGCGTATGTAGCCTCTA